TTGCTTAACAAATCAAGCATGAGGTAAAACGGACTAGAGGGCACTCAAATCACAGGCGGTCGGTCCCCAAGTTACGAACCTGTACACACAAACAAACTGCCTTAAAGCCTATTCAGTTTTTAAAAAAATACTGCAGAAAATCATCATCAGCATAGAGAGGAAGCAAAAGGACAGAGGGGGAGGCCGCCAAAGACGTCCTCCCTGCCTGCCCATCTGGTTAGGGAAATCTTCTTAGCTGCAAAGTGGTAGGAAGCATTTGGGGAGGGTGGGCAGAGATATTTCTGGTTTTCCCACTTTCACTGGGGTTCTGAGCCCCTAACCCCCAAATACGTGGAAGGCTGATTATACATGATCCAACTTTCATTACAAATTTAACTTAAAAGACCAATTTCCATTTTTTTCAGAAACAGAACTCATCTGTAGCCCAGGGACTGCCTGTACTGGGGTAACTGCTACATTTAGAACACTGCAAAAGAATGACTGGGCGGCATCCCCCCCCCCCCCCAAGGGTCTCGTGTGCTGAACAAGCTCGCCCAGCACTGCAAGGGGCTCAAGCCCCTGCACATGCACCTGTTGTTTTCTCTTTTCTGAGTTACACCCCATTTTCCGTGACCATTAAACACAGTATGGAAAGGGTTTGCCCCATATGCTTGCAAAGCTTGGCTTCCCCCACGATTTCAAAGAGCAGTGCGTCGGCTTCTTTTTCACAAGGCGGCACTACTGGAGTTTGTTAGGAGGAAGGACCACCCCCTCAGCACCCGGCACCCCTCAAGGCAAGTTGTTCTTCTTCTGGGACCGGCACAGGCCCAGAAAGTTCGCTCTCAGCCCACGGCCTGCGTCTGCACTCAGTTCTGGACTCAGCAGCTACCCAGTCTCTGCCCGTTTATTTATATTTTTTTATTTATATCCTTCCTTTTTCCTACAAAGGGCTCAAGGCAGCTTACATCATCTCTCCTCCTCCATCTTATCCCCACAACAACCCTGTGAGGTAGGTTGGGCTGAGAGTCTGACTGGCCCAAAGTCACTCGGTTGACTCCATGGCCGAGCGGGGACTAGAACCCAGATTGTCTGAGTCCCAGTCCCATGCTCTTAACCACTACGCCACAGTGGCTCTCCCCTTTGGTTAATATCCTGTCCTATCCAGGGGACGAGCTTCTTTCAGATTCCATCATGGCCTTTTCTGTGCCAAACGGGTCTTTCAGTACCATGTTTTCCTATGTATCACAAAGGAAACTGATTACCGTGTAACTTGCCAATAACTTATCCCACTAGAAAAGTATTCTCTTTCTTAGTTACTCCTGTATTTCAGGCTGCCATAACCTCTTTATTTTGCATTATTTTAACTTCTGGTTTAAGATTTAAGCATTTCAGAATGTTCAGTATTCACCCTAAGCCACCCCCTGCTGACCAAACCTAATAGCTGTTTAAGTTTATACACCCGGCCCCCCGTATCTCTGAATGCACCTCAGCTTCCTGGTTATGCTCATTCGCACAGCAACCCCACAAGGCGGCCACTCCCTACACTTGTATCCCACAAGGCTGGCCCTCCCCAACCTGGTGCCCTCCAGCAGGTGTGGCACGGCAGCCAAAGAACCCTCCTCAGCTTGCACGGTCCGTCTTGGAAAGCACCAGATTGGGGAAGGCTGCTCAGGGGTGTCTGAGCGAGGTTTTAAAGCTCAGGTCCTCTCCTAGCTGCATGTTATCCCCCGATAATAATTCAAGGCTTTATCTCTAATAAATCAGAGAAAAAAACAAAGTTGCATAAGATTAACGTGGCAGCTCCTTGTCCTATTTTTAACTAGCGCTGCAGTTCGGTTTTCAAAGCTCTAATTACCTGGATATTTTTACTACCTCTTACGATTTCTAATTTTTGCACAATTCAGTGGAGCAGGTTCTTAACGAGGAGGAGGACTGACCCATATATATGTTCTCAGGAAACTAGAATCTGAGGGTTTGTTTACGTAGCCACATGGCTTCAATTTCCATCCTGCCTGCACTCAAGAGGGCTTTCAAAGATGCTCAAGTGGAAAGGGGAAGGGTGGCCGCTTTGGCGTCACCCAAAAAGAGGATACAGTTTTGCATAAAATCTGCATGTACTAATATATAAGCAGAGGTGCACATTTAGAACTAACTTAATTTGCATAGAGATGCAATCCATGACACTCTAGTGGGAAACAGTGAGCAAATGACCCATATGCCTCACTTAGTCTGCTATCAAGGTACTGTGGAGGCACAATTTTGAGCCCAGCCCTTTATTCTGACAGCTATTTTAGAACAGGATTTGGACCTGGCAACCCAATAGCAGACTCTCCTTCACGAAGTACTCCCAGGCATTCAATGGCACCTGATGGGCCCTTTAATGGATCACCTGAATTGTTTATTGTTATTGTTGTCTTAGGTATTTCATGGCACTAAGGTATTTCATTGCTCACTGTAGCAGCTTTATATTTGTGCCTGTTTTAATTTTGCTGGAAATTGCCCTGAGCCTTTTTGGATGCTAATTTCCTTTTCTGGAATAAAAAGTTTAAGGGCTCAGTCCCAGGCTGAGAAAGGACAAAGCTGCCAGCGTGCCCCAGTCTGCTATTCTGGGAGTCACAGGAGTTTTTCTGCCCAAACATGCATAGGATTGCACCGTAAGAGAGCAACCCTCTAGCACCATATGATGCTGTGGCAATTCTAAGCTCATAAACAAATTTGAACAGAGGCTGCAAACCAATGGCCAGCCTCAGAGGGCAAGACTTGGCTCCCAGTCCTAAGGTTCTGCACCTCCACTGTATTGCACAAGACTCTACCACATCTGGAAATCGTCAGGTGTAAGCCGGCTTGTAGCCAAGAGTGATAGTTGCTCCCCCACCTCAACTCCAGATTTTTAAACTGGCTTTTTTGCTATTATAATTTAAAATTTAGATCCTGCTCATGCTTTTGGAATGAGTTGGAGCAAGTTAAACCAAAAGGAAAGGATCTGCACAATTCCCAGCAGACAGAGCAGGAAGGTTCAGTAGTTTCAAACCCAGCAGCTCAAGAAAGGTCACAGCAAAATTGAAAGATCAATTTGTTCCATGGCACCATCATCACTTATTCATGAGGCCAGGTTGCAGACATTCCGTATTCATAATCTGAGACATATCCTTGGAGTGGAACAACCTATTTAAATAGTAGGATTAACTTGCGGGGCATATTCTGCAAAGGTACAATGCAGACTGAATAGCATAGCTTCTTTAGTAAACTTCTTCCGCCCCGGTATTCCACATCTATTTCAACAGTAGTCACATTCATTTGGCAGTATTCAATTTCCTCCTCCCGCAGTCTTGTTAGGCAACTAACTTTTTTAAGAGCAAGCACAGGATAGTATGTGTAGGACAGAGGGAAACAGCGATCCTAAATGTGCTGGCACAATGGAATTTTGTCGACAGGAAAGGCAAAGTTAATTGCAAGGGCCAAACTAGGCAAGTCTGACTTGAATCCCTCTGAGCTCAGTACCAGTATCAGGTGCATCCAATATCAGGAAAAGTATCGCCTGGGTATAGAAATTTCTGGGAATGCAAGGAAGAAGTTGCTGTTGACTCTTGACTCACTTATAAACTGGCCATTGATATCCGGTTGGCTGTGTGTGGACAGAAAGCTGAAAAAGACGAGCCTTTGCTCTCTTTTCACATGGGAGCTGCATTCGCATGCCAAGTAGTACTGGAGCCTCCACCAGCCATGCCCTTCCAGCTTCCCTGATCCTTCATTTTCCCTGCATTTGTGCATGGATGTGCCATCTAGGTTGTGGTTCTAAGCCCACACACTCAGTCAACCACCACCAACCAGGCTCAGAAAGCCTTAGTCACAGTCCGTCACGATCACCACAAAAAGGCCTTCATCGTGAACATCTGCGTAGGCCCCAGCTTGTGCCTTGGCCGAGGGTGTCTCCCGCTACAGCCCTGGCCCCTCTGATCCTTGCTTGCTAGATTTGAGCTTGCCCCCTCCCCAGTTCTGATTAGTCACTTGGCCTCCTGACTTTGGATTGCGGCTTTTCACTTGACCTGCCCTGCTCTGGGCCCACATACCTGGTTGGACTGGCGGCGGCCAGTTCTTCCTCACTACTGCTTATTCCAGGGACAGCTTGTTCAGCTCCTTGCGAGAGAAACACACACAAAATTAAGTGCAATGCAGGCATCATTTAAGTGAGCCAAGAGTGAAGACTTTTTACCAACAAACAAGACATTTCCAGAAATACATCCGTGGCACAGCCAAGGTTGAGCACATAGAACATCAGGCACATGTAACCAGAACCAGTGTGGTGTAGTGGTTCAGAGCGTGGGACTGGGACTCAGACGATCCAGGTTCGAGTCCCCGTTCAGCCATGGAGTCAACTGAGTGACTTTGGGTGAGTCACAGACTCTCAGCCCAACCTACCTCACAGGGTTGTTGTTGTGGGGATAAGATGGAGGAGATGTAAGCTGCCTTGAGCCCTTTGTAGGAAAAAGGCAGGATATAAATCCAAAAATAAATAAATAAAGCACACCCAGAAGCACTCTTGGGCAGAAGTCTGGGGTCAACTCTGCAGTGCTCCAAGCACACGTTCAGGTAGGACAGAAGGGGCCAGAACTGCAAATCTATGTTGCTTTCAGAGGAATCCAAACAGAAAAAGCAGGATTATTTTCCGGGGGCTGCCTGAACCCCTCCACAAGGGAGGTGCCCCATATCACAACCCTTGCGCCTGAATTCTTCCTCAGAACCAGGCGCTTTCTTAAAGGAGCTTGCTGGGGTGACAGCGCTCTCCAGGACTGCACGCTCAGGCTCTGCTCCTGGAAAGCTCTCCTCTTTCAGGAGAGGCAGCCCAGTCTTCTCCTCCCCCGGGGGCCCAGCCTTCTGTGTCTCTGGACAGATGTGGCCTATGGCTTCGTCTGTGGCTTCTTCAGAGGAGGTACTGAGCCACTGAAACTGAATGTTGCTACTGTCCTGAAATGGCAGAGTTAAAAAGTGGGAAAGGAAATTATACAAAACAAACAAGTGCATTTGGAAAAAAGGAGAACTTTTATTTTTCTCAAAGCATATGTACTTTTTACAGCATGTCTTTAACTATATACAAGCAGGCATTATATTGCTCATGTTATGTATATACTCTGAAAAATATATATATTAGAAAGATTCACACAAGAGATGAAACATCTTGGGCCATTCTTTCAAGAACTGTTTTTAGAATGATGACCTCCCTCCCTAGCATATTAAGGGTGCAATTCTATGCATGTTTACACAGAAAAAGTGCTACTATTCCAAGCATTTTCCAGTCAAAACATGCAGAGAATTATACCTTAACTCTGAACTGCATATACAAAAGTATTCTCTACTACCTGAAAAGCATTATTTGAACATAAAACTAGCAGTGAGAGAATTAGGCAGGGTGGAAGTTTTCGCCTTGATGTGCTAGATGTCTAACTTCTGGGATGTTTTTTAATAGGCAGCGTTCAGAAAGGGTCTTTCCCACATCCCCATATTCTATGATGATTCCTGCCAATCTGCCACGTCAGCCGGCCCTCTATGTGCCAGCTAAGCTCAGTATGGGGCGCTTAGCACAGAAGAAGATACAACATCAAGAGGAAGGCAACCCAGTATCCTGTATCAGCTTGGCACTACAACCCCCATAACCCTGACCACTGGCCATGCTGATAAATGCGAACTGTAGTCCAAAACATTTGATACGCATGATGTTGCCCACTCTTGGTCTATATGGAAAGTTTTATGCAATTTTTTGAACTGGTCTAGTATTTTCAATCCCTACAAAAGAGTTTTGTGCCTTTTCTAAGCCTGGACACCTGGCAGAAACCTCTTTTTGGCAAGATGACTCTCCCCCTCAAGAACTGACCAAGTAAACAGAGCTTATAAAAGCCGACCTTGCAAAATGTTGGGTTGCAGATTCATCTGTCTACCATCCTCTGAGCAGACAGCCCTATTCCACGTTTTGCTTTGCCTAAATGTCACATTAGCAGAGTTATAAAAAAGGATTTTGTGGGGGGGGGGGAGAGCTAAATTAGCATCTCAAAAGCCAATTACAAAGCTATAAAACAGATTAGTTTATTTCCAACAAGGCCACAAACATGGCACACTGTTCATTGCTGAACGTAATCTTTTAATAACCCTAATCCTGATACTTCCATTTTTTAAGTTTTCACATTCCAGAGCCTCATGAAATGAAAAATCTGACCAAGGAATTCATATCTAAGCCTTAGCAAGAGTCGCAGGTAGGCTGGAGAAATGTGGGAGCAAACAGCATTATCCGATTGTGAGCCAAGCCTCAACAACAGAGTTCTTCCAAGGTGGCAAATGTAAAAAAGAAAACACTGAAATTGACATGGCTCATCTTCTCCATCAATACGATGGATATGTCGTCAACACTGTGCTACTGTGAAAGAGCATGCAACACTTTTAAGAAAACTTGCAGTGTACGTTTTCGAAAAAAAATACTTTCAAAGGTGAAAAAGTAAGAAGGGTTTCAAAACAATGCAAACCTGTTTTGACATTTGAATCCATAGTTCCAGTTCAAGTTTTGTGTGTGTGTGTGTGTTTAAAGTGCCAAGATACTAATCTTAATTCAAACTACACTCATTCATTTCTGAGAGAGCAAGTAGGAAGGAAGGAAAGTTGGCAGTGCACTAAAGTATTCAATGGATGTTTGTCCTTTTCCTACTATAAAAACTGCAACAGAATAGAAGCTGCTTCTGAAGTTACTTAAACAAACAAGTACTGGTCCCCAAAAGGTAGTTTTCCTTTCCTTCTTTCCTTTTAAGACACAGCCCCCCTTATTGGGAGAGAGTAAGAGTGCAAACAGAGCAAACCCCTTTGAAGGGGTATACAAACGCAGAGCACAGACTCAAGGCATTGTTCATCAAGGCTAAAATTACCTCCACTAAGGATCAGTACAACACTACAATTTCAAGAGGCAGAAAGTACAGAGGCAAGTACAACCTTTCCCATCTCTCTCTGGCCCCACCATTTTTCTTTTCCACAAAAGGCCCCTTGGGGAGTAGCTCAGGAGGCAAAACTGTTCCGAAACTCTACGACATTAATTACAACTATTTCTTTCCAACTTTTCAAACAGACATCCACTATTTCACAGCCTCCAGCAAGCATACAGATAAAAGAAAACTAAGACACAACGGACACAAAATAAGTGTACGTTTTTAAAAGTTTTTGATAGTTTTTTACTGCAAGGCTGCAACATGGTGGATGCCTGCTTGAACATCCCCTCCCCCAAACCCCATCCCTGCACTTAATAAAACTATCAGGGAAAAGACTAACCAGAGCTCTTTGTAATAGCTAGCTTTTTATATGCAGGGTGTTTAAAAATTTTATGGCGAGTATACCACTCACAGCGTGAAATGCAGGAACACATTTCTCAGGTTGTTTTCTGTTTGGACGAAGTGGGCTGAAAACTGGGGGAACCCACCGTTGCAATTTGAACATTGCCTAATTGGATCCAGCCATGCAAGATCATATATAGAGCCAGTTTCAGGGTTACAAACGTCCAAGTTATGAACCACCCGTACTAATGAACTGTCATAAAACCTATTAATTTAAAAATCAGAGTTAAAGACAAATGGTTCATACCTTTTGGAGTTGTAGAGCCTACTGCAGAAAATCTTCATCACCAGGAAGAGGAAATGAAAGGGGGAGCCTGAGAGAGGAAGTGGGGGGGGGGTCCAAAGCATGCCTTCTTGCTCTGCCCATCTGGAGATGGAAATCTCTCCAGCATTTCCTTGGTGCAGAGATGAACTGGTGAGTGAAAGGGAGGGTGAGCAGTCCGAGAAATTCAGGCCATGTGCAGTCAAGGGGGGCTAGAGGTATTCACAGTCTTTCACTATGGCAGAAAGTCCTGTGCCCCTAAACCTCCACCAAAGTAGTGAGCCAAATGTACATGGAAGTGCTTCTTAAGTGTTTTATGTGCAGTTTATATACGCTATCTGACTTGCATACAAATTCAACTTAAAGATATTCTCTGGAACGGAACTTGTCCGTAACCCAGGGACTGCCTGCATTTCATATGAGAGAAATACCACTGGCCACGCATGCCCCATCCAGGCAGGGGGCTGGCCATGTCTGAGGCACGCTCAGGCGCCCAGGTCTTGGATTCCTGGCCGGATGCTGAAATGCACACCTGGTTAGTTCATCCCCGTTACCTGCCGTGGAAAGCCAGGTGGCACTGGCACTGGTCACTGTCATCAGAGTATCCCAAGGGCGGTGTGGCCAGGCTGGTGGCCGCCACAGTCGCTATCTGGCATACGACCCTGGCTGCGAGAAGCGTGAGGCCGGCTGACCTCGTGCTTCTCCAAATATTCACACACGGCTCTTCATGCTGTGCCTCACAGCACGTGGGAAAGCCTGCGCATGACAAACAGGGCCACTGCCGTGGATCAGCTCCGCGAGTTTTGGTCTGCGTGGCTTATCTCAGCTGAGGGCTCAGAAGCGCTGAAAGAGTCGTACTGATGCCTGCAATTAGACATGTTTGACTATGTCCTGTACACTCAGTTGCTGTGGGGTGCCACTGTCACACCTGTGGGTGCAGACAGTGGGTCACAGAAGCCACGACCTGCCAGGCATCCTATCCCTCCCGGCGCCGGCACACCAGCCAGGCAGGAGCCCACGCGGCCACATTCTTCTCTTCCTGAGCGCCCCCCTTACCTTGCCGAGACAAGTCTCTTTGAGGAACGGGCCAACACAAACAGATGAGCAGCAGCTGATGCTATTGCCAACCAGGCGCATTCCAGTAGGAGCAGCAGCCTAATATTGTAATGCTGAATTAGATACTGCAACATAATTACCATAATACATGTAAATGGTGGGGTTTGTGAATAAATATACTCAAGGAGCAGCTCAGCATATAGAAAGCATAAGACCAAAAGAGACATTCCATACATAAAGACGTATTAAAAAGTATCCAAAACTTTGGTCAAAGAGTTGTCATAAAAGCATCCGTTCAGAACCAAATGTTTGCTTTGCCTTCCCCTCTTCATTAAGCCTTCCAGTTGAAATCACCCAGAATGCAGTGCATCAATTTAGTGCCGCCGTCTCCAACCTGAAGTCCTCCGACTCGGGGCCGGCTGGCTAGAGGGCGCAAGGTTGGGGATGGCTCACTTAGTGGTTATTTAACTTGAAAACGAGTATCGGGAAACGAGGGAGGGAGGGAGGGCATCAAAATCCAAAGAGGTGGTCGGTTTTTTCGGCCGCTGTTGTGGAATTGACTTGGTCCCAATCTACGGGCGAGAGAATTTCAGTGCTTTGGATGTCTTGAGCAGTCAGGCCAATGTCGAGGACATGGGGATTAGTCCGAGACTGTGCCAGCCTGAAAGAGAAAAAGGACACCATGTTTGACCAGGGTTGTGGGTGCAGGCCTGCCGCAATGGCCAGCAGCAGCGTCAAGACCGAGCTTGCACATACAGCAGGGAAGGACAGGATGAAATCGATCTCCTTGGACCACAGCTAAGGAGACCTGCTCATGCTGCTATCCCATCTAAACAAAATACTCCCCCTCCAAAAAGAGAGCAGCTCAACAGGGAGAAATGTTGTAGCACAGTTCTTTGCTTGTGGTGCTGGTTTTCCATCGGCAGCAGGAAGTACTTCAAGTAGGGATGGGCCTGAGTCCAGCAGTTTTGCTTCCATCCCAGAGCTGAGAGGGGATCTCAGTCAAAGGTATTTCCATAATCTGCTTAAGACAAGAGGATGGACAATGCAAAGGTTGCCCCTAAATAGGGACTGCAACTCCCACCATTCCAAGCCATTGGGAGAGCCCCACAAGGCAGCGACTGCCAGTAACAAATATTCTGCAGAAGGTCAGATGTTCCCAAAGCCCTCTCAGCAACTCCTCTGTGCAAGGGTGTCCAGAAGGCTGACCATTATTAGCTGAGGCAGGACCGCTGGGGTTGGCTGGCCCAGGGCTGCCAAGTGAGTTCATGAATGAGATCTGGACCAAGAGTTGGGTGTTGCTCACATGCCAATAGTTGTTGTGATGTGCCATCAGGTCATCTCCAATTTAAGGTGACCCTGTGAGTGCCCTCCAGACTGTTCTGTCCTTCACAGCACTGCTCAGCTCCTGCAAACACAACACTGTGGCTTCCTTTATGACATCAAGCCATCTCATATTTGGTCTTCTTCTGCCTTTGACTTTTCTCAGTAGGGCTGTCTTCTCCAGTTAAGTCTTAACTTCTTATGATGCACCTCAAGTAAGACAGCTTCAGTTTCATTATTTTTGCTTCCAGGGCAAGTTCGGGCTTGATTAGATCTAGGAACAACTTGTTTGTCTCTCCATTGGGTCCGGGGTATTTGCAAAACTCTCCTACAGCACCAGTTTCAAACACATCAATTTTCTTGTCAGCTTTCTTTACTGCCCAGCTTTCGTGAGCCAAGGTGTCTCTCTAGCCACATAATTCCTCTTCTATCGCGGGACAGCCCTCATAAAGAAGACTCCTAGTCCCCAAATCCTCCTGTACAAAGCTAAATAAACAGGACAAGCCTAGAGTAATTTTTGCCAAGTGTACCGCTTGGAAAGAGGCAGATGTCTGGATATGCTTGTATGCATGAAATTCCATGTGGTAGAAAAGTATGAAGTAGCTACGCCTATGTGTTTCTCTGCAGGTACATGTTGTGAGTCAACTGCTAATGCTAAGAAGCTTTGGATCTGTACACTTCCATGAAAAAAGGAGACTTCCTGGAAACCATAAAGGAAAATTGCTGGACCGGTGAGGCAGGAGAGAGAAAAGTATGTTTGCCGCACAAACCTGTGAAGTTTGATTTCACTCACGTTCTCATTTTTAAATGCTAAGTTTGGATTATGTTTTTTCCCTACAGTCTGCCTGAAAACGTGTATGCATTGTCAAAAAAAAGTCTACATTTTGTGCTCATTTCTATGCATTCTGGTGTACATCTCCCCTCACTGGATGAAAGCGTTGTTATGTGCACTGCTTTACAAATATACTCATGTTTTGTAGCACATCTGCTGAAATTCACACTGCAAACTTCTATAATTTACGAATGTCAGTAACAAACTGTGTTCCAGTTCATATATTCAGGACTATTAAGTTGGTTTGGAAATGTGAACCACACTAATTTCTCCACCATCTCCCAGAATTGTTTGCTTTCTTCCCGAGAGCCCACCCCTTCCCATCTAAGTGCTCTTAAGCAGAGAAAAATTTAATTTGCGTGTCTTTCCAGTATTTGATGCCTCCTTTCCCAGTCTGCTTATCAGAAGGTTCCAGCTGAACAACACCCTGCTCATCTGGGAATCAACAGCTTTCTGTTTACTTTGTGCCAAATGAAACACAGGCTATTACATAACAATCCAGCGACTCACAGTCCCTGGAGATGGGCATGTCATTAGCAGAGGCCGAATCTTCCAAACAAAAGGCCACACAGGCCAAGCGACGGAGCCTTGCATTCCAGCCAAGCGTCCCCATTTTCCTGGCTGTGGGGTGATCTGTACCGACAGGCACGCTCAACAGCTCTCCAGGGCCGACAGCCTTGCATTCCAGTTGTGCCCAAGAGTCCTGCCCGTTTCTGGGAAGCAGCTCGGGAATCTTAACTCCGGCAGACAGCTGCACGGTGGCACGGGAATTGGTAATGGCAGGAGCCATCCCAAATGTTCAGCATCTACTGGGATCACCAGAAACTTTAGGACAAGGGAGGCTTCAAGGGAACTTCAACTTTCATATTCTTCAGGGTTACTTTATAGCAACACTATAATTTGGCCAAGCTTGTCATGCAAATACTAGGTTATGCAGCAAATGTGAGGGCCAACAGCTTCTTCCCACCCCGCCCCACTCCGCAGAATTCCAATATTTAGCCTAGTGTGCTGACTCCCCCCCTCCCTTTAAAAGGATGCTTCACTTTAGAGTACTAGCTGGCCAAGCACCTTCTGTACGGCCACCCCTGGCTCCCTGCTCCTCTTCCTGCTCGCCATTTCCCTGCTGCTACTGCCCAATATCGGTATCTGTGATGTTTACAGGCAGAGGGAAGGGGGCAACTCCCAGGAAAATTTCAGTGGCAGATGTCTTTGTATCCTCAGTTCTGTGCAGCCTTGTCCTAGGAGATTTATAAGGCCATGTGCATATGGTCCAAGAAAGTCTATAGTCTGGTAATTATAGAATGGCACTGTCCTGGGTGGCATGGAAGGCAAAGGCCAGGACAAAGGGTCTAGAAACAGGAAAAGCCACCCATTCTGGTCCTGCTTGGTTTCTCATTTCTCCATTTGGTTCGGTCCTATTGCGTATCAGTGCATTTAAATGTCCACACAAAAATTCATATGCATTTTGTGTGTGCTTCTACAACACATATTTTTCTGCACCACTTCTGCCAATATATGCATTTTCGCATGCACCATTTCCTCCAAGTGATTTCTCTTATTTCTGGGTATAAATGCATAATGCATTTTGGCACATAATTTTCACTGTTGGGTATCCTTTCCCGACGCATGGATCAGGGTGGTGCCAGGTACCAAAGCCTCCAGGGCTCAGGTCCGGAGGACAATGAATGCACAAATGAGCACATGCTAATATCTGCACTTGGTGTGTGTCATCAGAGGATCTTGCCACCTAAGGACACTCCTAGTGCAAGGACAAGAGAGAGGAAAGGCATTTGATTGCAGGGGGGGAAAGCTAAGGCAGGAAAAAAAGTCAGGGATGGAGAATTGCTGGAGATGAAGCTAGTGGAACATAATCTAGAGAAATGGCTGCTTGAAGTCCGTAGATTAGAAGCTTGAAATTTGCTCACTTGGGCAGAGAACTCTTTTCCATCTGTAAAGGCTTCCTGGTGGGCCATTAGGAAACCGGCTCTGCAGTTCAATGCTTAATGTTATGCTAATTTATCTTCTCCAGCTGGGGGAGATCTATCTTCTGGATTTTTACCAACACCCCAAGCAGAGTTCCTTATGCTATTCCTGCCACTCCATCCTGGATATCCTCAGATCATTTATGTCATGACATTTTCGTATGTTGCATTTTTCTGCAGTAAATACTTCTCTCCAAGCATGTGAGCATGTGTCAGAGGGAGAAAGAGAGACTTGACCGTGTGATCAATAGGTGGGGGGCATGTTTTGCACAAGAACTACTCTGATGTAAGTCCCCATTCTCTCTATAGCATTTACTGGCATGCAAGAGTAGATCCTTCCCTTGCATTTGATGGAGACTTTTAATTCTCTCCACAAAGCTGTCCTTTGGCAAACTTGGGGGGGGGGGTTTGTGGGCAGCAAGTTTGCCACAGAGAAGTGCAGCAGGGAGTGGGGTGGGGGCTTGCTCCTCCTCTGATTTATGTTCCTGTCCCCTCTATGATGTTACTCCCAAGCCAGTGTGGTGCAGTGGTTAAGAGCATGGGACTGGGACTCGGGTGATCCGGGTTCGAGTCCCCGCTCAGCCATGGAGCCAACTGGGTGACTGTGGGCCAGTCACAGGCTCTCAGCCCAACCTACCTCACAGGGTTGTTGTTGTGGGGATAAGACGGAGGAGGAGAATGATGTAAGCTGCCTTGAGCCCTTTGTAGGAAAAAGGCAGGATATAAATTGAATAAATAAATAAATAAATGAAAACCTTAAGCTGGAGCGAAAGAGGGTGGGTCAAAAGGAGCTGTTCAGCATGCCAGGGCCCAGACCTCACAGCTGCCTTCACTTGCCTTTTGAGCAGTTTTCAGTCCTTGGCCACGTCTCTGAGGACAGTGGGGGTCCCCAGAACAGATTCTCAAATCGCCAGATGCGTCAGGCCCCAAAAGGCAGCCTGTCCCCGATTTCGTGTCACTTGTGACTAACGACTCGCACTGCAGCTCTCTGGGTGCACTACACACACACCGAATAAGAGTCCCTTTCATTCAAGACATACCACCATTTCCTTCCACTCCCCACTACACAAGTAACACAAAAAGCAAAAGCAGAAACAGAAACAGTGAAAGCATCCCTCAATTATTCTTTCCAAAATGCCCCAGCAGGGACATCTTAAAGTTATGTGCACAGAGAGGTACAGCAACGCTGACAGCTTGAGTGAGAAAATGACAGAGAGCCTCCATCCCTAAATGGGGAAGAATGAGAAGCAGCAATAAAAACGGTTCTAATTTGCAAAACAACCTTGGTGTGCTTTGCAGCAAAGCGGCCGACAGAACAGGAAGCCTTTCAGACCAGACGGCAGCATCCTTTTGAAGAGCAACCGTCTGGGACTCGGACCGCTTCCCATCCACACTGGCCACCAGTGCTGCAGCGGGGGCCAGCCCCTGAAAGACGCGCCCCCAGCCTTGTCCAGCCCGCACCTTGCAAACACATCACACTACCACCCCATCGTTCCCATGCTGATTGGGGGTTGATGGTAGCTCCGCTCCAATAAATCTGAAAGGAGCCCCTGCTGCGGAAAGAAATTAGGCCTGCAGGCAGAGGCCACGACTAGCAGGGTTTGCAAAATACCCAGTGCTGGGGCCTCGCCGGGACATGGACGGTGTTTTCCTCCACACAGTTGCATCCTTCCCAGAGCCAGTGAATCAACCAGGAGGGGATCGGCCTGTTCGTTCACACACTACGTCCACCGTTCAGGACGCCCCAGCTTGTCACTGGGCAGCGCCCCACGTGCTGGAGGCTGGAGAGCACGTGTGACTGTGCTTTGCCCTGCTGCTGAACGGCTTCCAGTGCAGGTGGGGAACTGAAATGCAAGAGAAGGGATCCAAATGGGCCACGCGGTAACAGAAATGGGCAGCTGGTGGCCCTCGAGATATTTTGGCATACAACTCCCAGCAGCCCTAGCCAGCAAAGGCAATGGGGAGCGCTGATGGAAGGTCCAGCCCAAAGGGGCCACAAGCCGGCCACCCCGCAGTGGAGCTCCTTCCTCTTCTCAGCACGTGCCTCTGGTTGCTTTTCACTCCGTCTGTGCAAAGGCGCACATTCAGCAAGCGTGCTGCATCATTTAGGGAATTAAATTCCCCTCCACACACACAAATTAGCTCTTGCCCTAAGAAGTTATCAAAATATTTGACTTATGCAGGCGGCTGCAAATCCCATTGTTCAATTAGCCAAACAGAGCACTGCTGAAGGGGGTCAGACAGCGACCAACGAGAATCAGATTAGAAGCATTTTAAAAAGAGGAAAAAAGCAGTCACTAATCAAGTCTGTTCCAGGGTAGGCCCCTGGTGGAAAGAGTGTCAAGTAACAAATGATCATAATTACCTTGAAAACGCTTCATCCAGCCCGTCATCCATCGGCTTTGTTTAAAGACAGGGGTGGGTAGAAGGAAAGAAAAAAAAAATAAATCAAACAGAAATTGAAGTATTCAAGCTAGCATACAAATGCTGAAATGAATTTATTTTGCATCTGTGCATTTTAAAATTAACAGAATTTATGTTTTGCATTTTGCTTGCAATCACTAAAAAAAGGAGGGACTGTGGCCTGGAAAATAAGCTCAAATTGAGACAGTTCCCCACAACCCGTTTCACTGGACTGCTGAAAGGCCAGGAACACCCACTGCCATGCTAGGGAGAATTCCCTGTTAAGCACGGCTGCTAGCAGTGGTGGCTTTATGATGATTCCGAAACCAGAACTATGCCTTTGTAAATCCATTGCTGGGGGTCTGAACTGTGCGTGCAGGTCCTACTTGGAGGTATCTCACAAGTACTGTGTGAACAGACTGCAGAAGTAACTGTTCTTGGTGCAATCCAGCATGACTTTTCTTTGGTTGTCCTCTGTGGACTGCATGAAAATACAATCCCCTAAACTCTTAGCAGCCAAAGCCTTCTCTCTCCACAGAAGGGAAAGATCACTCAATTTTTTACCCATTAGCCTGCCTAGTTTCCCTGCTGGCTGTGGGGGGGGGGGGGGGTGCAAGGCTTGTTCCTCCTCCACCAAGCCGAGCATAGAACTCCATGCATTTGCTTGCATGGAATTCCGGATCACCTCTGGAATTTCATGCAAGTTACCAGGGATTTGCAAAGCATGATTCTTGTAGACTGTCCAGAAATGCAATACTGTCAGACAGACTTGTTCAAATGCTCAGTTCACTGTTCATCTTCCCCTTCAGGGAATAACCACAGGGTTGGGCACATTCTCCAGGGCAGCTGTGGGCAGATTCACTCTTTTTCTTAACCTGTTCGACAAAGTCTACCAGCCAGAAGAGTTGCCAGAACGTTGGGAGAAGGGAGTGGAGTGACATGCAGAACGGCACCGCAAAGAACGGGGTCGCATCACCTACTGCACCCGCATGAGCTGGGACAAACTGCATGCGCACATACAAACCTGGCTTCAAGTTAACACCCATCAGATAAATTCTTACTTTTATTTATTTATTTATTTATTAAAACATTTTTATGCCGCCCCATTCGCCGAAGCCTCGGGGCGGCTTACAACATAGATAAAACAAGTTAAAATCCATATAAAATAATCTTAATTAAAACTCACATTATAGCTTTTAGCTTGCAATTGTACCTTTTAAACCAATGGGTGGCAGAAACTTTCATTTCTCTATAGCTCATCATCCAACGGTCAATTGATATATCCCAATTTACCTTCTGCACACCCTTCCTCTAGATGCATTTTCAATTCATGCAAAGCACCCTTAGAGTAGAAAAGGATGAGCACGATGGACCAGGGGGCGTCATCTCCAGACGACAGGGATGCACACAGAGGCACTCTGGGTGGCCAACCACAGCTCCGGAATCTATTCCTGTCATCCCAGTGGAGCAGGATACCCATGCATTTTTTCAGAAGCCTCATCAGGCTTTGGGGCGGTATCTCATTCTCCTGATTAAAGCAATGGGGGGGCACTGAAGAGCGGGGGCTGCACTGCCGTGAACTGCCCACAGAGCTTTGTCTTTTGGGTGGTGCAGGAACAAAACTAATGAAGTGAGTTTCAGTGCCTTGTGCTACCCACTCCTTTTAATGGACTCATTCACTTAAAAAAAAAAAAACAATTCTGTTTCTGCTAAGCAAACTGAGAAATGTTTGGGGTAGCAGGTGACTGACTCACCTGCAATGTAAAAAAGCAGGGAGAAGCCTGCATAATTTGTGTCACATCAGCTTTGTACAGTAGTTTACCAGATTCTTTAGAAAATAAACCTATCCCCACTTAGTTTTGCTGCTTGCCCAGGTTTGCAAGACTTGAGAATGGTTTGAGAGAGAGGGCGGGATGCTCCTGCCTCACTTACCCACACGACATTGTTGTTTTCTGAGGAACGCGGCCTGAAGACGCTGCTGTCCAAGGGCACAGAGTTGGCGTTCGTGGTTAAAGGGGTCTTGACAACATTCTCCAGGTCTACGAGGTCCCCTGTGGTGGCTGCTGCATAACGACAGGAATGCAAAAGGTTGGGGGCATTAAGGAAGTGTAGGAGAGAGGGGGGCTGGCTCCAGGTGTGTTGAGCTGCCACTGGCCAGGGTGGCAGAGAATGATCAGAGTTGTGGACCAACACACCGGGAAGCGTTAGGCAAAGCTGGCTTAGAGGATGCAGGGAAGGGCTCCACTGTGTCATGCTCACAGCAGGATCGCTCTGCATTCAGCAGGTCCCAGGAAGGAAAGGAAGAGGAGGCTGAGGGCCCAGAACTTCCCTTACCAAGTTGCTGGGACAAGCTCTTCCAACCTCTTTCAAGTGGAGGAGCTTCTGTAGGCTGGCACTTCAGATTGATACTGGTTTGGCATTATGTTTTTTAATTGATTTAGTGTTGCCGTGGCTTCTGGCCAATGAATCGCATTTACTATTAATTTGGCCCTGTGACTCCTTCTGTGTCTCCAGAGGGATATAACTGGACTACGTCCATCAACAGCAAGAGGTTAGAAGAGCCATGCTGTCCTCTGTCCCAAAAACATATCCCAGCCGATATAGCATCTGCGTGTTGGATTTTAATCACTGTAAGCTGCTCTGGGATCCAATTTTAGTTGGAGAGAGAAGTATAAATATAACAAAACAAGAACACAGAGAAGCAACAGATTAGCTCTGTAGGCAAAACAGTGAAAACCATCACATTGCTCATTCCTGAAAAGTCTGTGATCCATGCTCGCTTTCCACAGAGAGGCAACGGCCAATGCCTGCGAGGTTGCCAGGCCTTCTTTAGCTACCTGCCCAAGTCAGGCGTGCATATGGAAGAGGACGGGCGGATGGGGTTTCGTCAAAACAGAGAGGGGACGGCCCTGAGCACGCGATCAGAGTTACTACAACTTCATTCCAGGATGCAGCAGCATTAAATCCACAGCCTAATGCCCTGCAACTCTCCGTTTCCTGGCCACAAAATATTATTCCCCTCTGTAAGGAAATTATAACGGACCTTTTATAGTAGGGCTGTTGCAATTTCCAGCCTGAGGGCTGAATTCAATTTGGAGATGCTCGCAGAGGCCATGCTCAGAGGCAGGCAGGGCTGAAGCCAAAGCAACCACGGCCAAGCAACTCCCCCCCCACAAAAAAAAAAAAATCAAGCCTATTTTACCTTAAAGCTCTTTCAGCTAGTAACTAAGCCCTAGAAGAGGCATTTCAACCTTCAGGAAGAAACGACATAAAAAGCTGGAAACTACCAAGCAATTCAGGGGAAAATGGTAGAGCCAGGGAAAGAGGGCATGGCCTTCTGGGAATCTCAGGCGGCTGAACTGAGACCCCGGAGAGACTGTATCTGGCCCAGCAGCTTGGAATGCTGCCCTTCTGCATCACACCTGGTGCCCTAAACCCAACACGCTCCCTCAATACCACACTCCTTCCATTTAAGACAGCGACTTTTTTGGAGATGCATAAAAATTCCAATGTGTATATTTAGGAAAACACAGTTTTGTGCTTGAATCTCAACATGCCCTGCTTTATGTTTTTCAGATCAGAATAAATTTGGATTGTAGAGATGCTCAGCGATGCAAAGGAGTCTGGGACTTTCTCGAGGCACGCTTGTGGCCTTTTGATTTATTTAGACGATTTTCAATGTGTCAAGGTGAGGCAGCCGTATCAGTTTGCCGATTTCATGTGCCATTAAGAGTGGAAGAGTGAGAAATGTGCAAGTCTCACCTGTCATGCCATGATCCCACAGGAAAATCTCCTGTGTAGGAAAGATAAGCAAGACAGTGCGCCAGCAGCATCTCCCACTCATTTCAGTGACGCTCACACAGGAGAACATCCAAGCGGATCATGCCCCATGTTACTTCGTGTCTGGCTGCATGCCTGCATCGGGGACAGTGGATTTGATTCATCACATCAAGTATCAAGGGGGTAAAAGTGGCAGATGTTGTAGACAAACTTTCCTTATATGTATGCAAACAGATCATGGCATTAATTTCCCTATTGTTGATTGCTATTTTTGTTGGAAAAATGACACAGTATTTTGGTACTGTGCTTAGGAACATGGGCCTCTCTCATATGAAGGAAATAACGGATGTATCATTTCTAGGGACATGGAAATGCCAACATTTGCCATACACAATCTGTTAGCAGAGAAGTATTGAACATACAGAGGAAGCATAAAAACAGTACCAAGAGGTTGGTGGTAATACAGGTTGGCTGGGGATGGCAGGAAGCCTTAGGGTAGGAAAAAGCTGCTCTAAAATATTGGATAAAACCAAAACAGAGGTTGAATTTAAGAATTCTAACTACAGAACATTGCCAGCCATATATGAGCAGCCTGTTTGTACACTTATCTGCGCTACCCTGAGATGCATTTTAAGATGTAGCAGCTGTTAAAAGAGGCTTTCTTTCCCATCTAACACATAGGACAGATCAATACAGACTGGATGGAAGTCCTGTTTACAGGACTTCCTTGTTTACAGGACTTTCTTGGTGCCATTTTGCAGTACTTTACCAGCCAGGACGGGAAGAAGACAGACATTTCCCTGTGCTCTTACCTCCCCAGCCCCTATTCCTTCCTCTTCCACACATCCCTCAGCTTATTCAAGGGTATTTGGGCCATGTGAGATTTAGCAGAGAGCCTTTGCCATGAGACAATTGCAAAAGGAGAATCGAGCTTAAAAACAATACCCGAAAGGCCTGACCCCATTTCGCAAGCTGCACAATCTAGACCGTTGCGCGTCTTAATGGGTCCCTCAGAGCGGTTTTCAGAAAGCTGCTTGCAGGAGCACGGAGGGCTGCCCCTGCGTCTCTTCCTCTCCCCCGAGGGATATGAGGCACATCAGATTCTTGATAAAGGAGCCACAGAGGTCAACAGAACTGTTAAATCCTTGATGCGTTTCAATCAGAGGTCACCGCTGCCTGTAGACTTGGATGCACACCTCAATCTGTGCATCTCTGGGAAGGTTATCGAGAGTACTGGCAGCCAGAAGGGCGAATCTCTCCTCCTCTGGCTGCTGCATCGCTCATGCACTGTTGCTTGCAGGGGTACATAAAAGGAGCTCCTTGGGGACTTTTACCCAAACAGGCAACATCGGAAAGGCAAAAATATCATTTCCAACCTCCAAGCTGCGAGTGCCATTCTTGACACAGCCAAAATGGTGCTAACCTGGTCAGCAGAGGTTGCAGGAATCGCAGGATACTGAGTAGTCCAAAAAAAAGGGAAGGGGGAAGGAAGTGAACCCCAAAACAGGGCACAGTGCATGCAACTCTCACAGAAGGCTAATTGTACTAGTGGGGGGCTGATGGAGGGGAGGGAGATCCAATGCATTTGCTGGAATCCTGAACAGGCCTTGCTCGTTGCATGTTAAAGATGAGGGCCTGAATCCCTTCTGTTTCCCCAGTCACTTGCCCACAATACCACAAGAGTAATTAAGATCAGCTGCGTTTCTAAAGAATGAAGCCATTGCAAGTTCTCCACCCAGAAAAGCCAAATTCTGTGATTTGGATATGGTTGCAAACCTGGAAGCAGTACCTGGATTTTGCATAGCACCCACATTTCTTTCAAAGAAGGGACAGGAACTCTGCTCCCAGATCCATGGCAGTGCTACTCAGCTTTCACACACAAGCTGCTGAGACTTTCCGCCACAATTTAGTATTATTTATTTGCCGCATTTGTATTGGAGACAAGCCAAAAAGAGGATTCTTCCCTTCCACTCACATGCTACACTTAGCACTGATTTATTATGCTCCTGCACTGGTGTGGGGGTGAGTCCAACTCTGGGGGGAAGGTGTTTAACACAGTGATAGTGCTTATACTTTTCAGATTAAGTCCCTGGCATCTACACTTAAAACAAGGGTGATAAACCGCTTTCCAGAAGCTCTCTGGAACTGAATTCTGGCTGTGGTAGGAACTAAAGCCAAAGAGGTGGGGCAAAAAACCCCTGAAACCTATTTTACTATTCAAGCCCTTACTACCAATAGCTAAGCTAATAGATCTTCCCTCATCCATGACTTGATTGTGGGTGGGGGGGCCGACCTGGCTTGCATAACGGAGACCTGGGCAGGGGGTGGGGGATGTCGCCCTCTCTCAAATGTGCCCGCCCGGGTATCTAGTTCAGCACCGTTCACGCCCAGAGGGGAGCGGGGGGTCGCTTTGGTTTAAAGAGCCTCCATCTCCCTCACGGGACTTCTGGTCCCTTCGAGGCCAGGGCTGGAGTGCCTCTACTTGGTGTTGGGCGACCGAAACAGATTGGGGGTTCTGTTGGTGTACCGTGCACCCTTCTGCCCAACAGTCTCCCTGCCTGAGCTGATAGAGATCGTCTCGGACCTGGTGTTGAGGACCCCCAGGATGTTGGTTCTGGGGGACTTCAATCTCCATGCCGAGACTGGTCTGGCCGGGGCGGCTCAGGACTTCATGGCCTCCATGATGGCCATGGGGCTGTCTCAACATGTCACTGGCCCAACCCATGAACGTGGACACACTCTGGACCTGGTTTTCTTGATGGAGCAGGAAGAGGATGACCTGAGGGTGAGGAATTTATGTTTGACACCCCTGTCATGGTCAGATCACTTCCTGGTGAGGTTTGTGCTCGAAAGCGGCCTCTCCCTCTATAAGGGTGCGGGCCCGATTGTGTGGGTCCGCCCCCAGAGCCGGATGGATCCGGATGGATTCCTGAAGGCCCTGGGGGAGTTTCCGGCTGACAAAACTGGTGCTCCTGTCGAGGCTCTGGTCGAACTGTGGAACGGGGAGATGACCAGGGCTGTGGACACGATCGCTCCTGAGCATCCTCTCCCTCTGGGCAGAGCCCGCTCTTCAGTGGTTCCGCTCCCATCTCAATGGCCGATTCCAGAAGGTGGTGCTGGGGGACTGTGGCTCTGAGCCATGGCAGCTATGCCATGGAGTGCCGCAGGGGTCCATTTTGTCCCCTTTGCTGTTTAACATCTACATGAAACCGCTGGGAGAGGTCATCAGGAGGTGTGGGCTGCAGAACCATCAGTACGCTGATGATACCCAGCTCTACCTCTCGTTTTCCACCAATCCAGGTGAGGCAGTGGCTGTGCTGAACCGGTGCCTGGCCGAGGTAATGGGCCGGATGAGGGCCAATAAACTGAAGCTCAATCCAGACAAGACGGAGGTCCTGTTGGTTGGCGGATCGGGCTCTGGGGAAGGTGAATTGAACCTAGTCCTGAATGGGGTTGCACTCCCTCTTAGGCACAAGGTCCGCAGCTTGGGAGTGCTCCTCGACCCAGAGCTTTCATTGGAAGCTCAGGTGACAGCAGTTGCGAGGAGCGCTTTCCCTCAGCTTCGGCTGATCCATCAGCTGCACCCCTACCTGGAGAACGACTGCCTGGCGACAGTGACACACGCGTTGATGACTTACCGACTTGACTTCTGTAATGCGTTCTACATGGGGCTGCCCTTGGTCCGGATGGTCCGGATACTTCAATTGGTTCAAAATAGAGCTGCCAGGCTGCTGACGGGGACTGGGCGTTATGTTCACATGACTCCAGTCCTCCATCAGCTTCACTGGCTTCCCATTGAAGTCTGGGCCCAATTCAAGGTGTTGCTGATGACCTATAAAGCCCTAAACGGCTTGGGTCCTGGCTACCTGAAGGAGTGCTTACGTCCATATACGCCCGCCCGCCCCGAGATCTGCGGGAGAGGCCCTTCTCCGGGAACCCTCCGTGAAGGAAATCAGGAGGGTAGGTACTCGGAGGAGGGCTTTCTCTGCGGTGGCGCCCAATCTATGGAATGCGCTCCCTAGAGAGGTCCGCCTGGCACTGTTGTTATTTGTTTTTCGGAGCCAGGCGAAGACCTTTTTATTCAAACGTCATTTTAATTGCTAATATTATTTGCTTATTTTATTCTTTGGCCAGGGTGACTTATTTTATATTGTTAGTTTGTTTTATATTTTTAGTGTTTTATGTTTTAATTGACGTTTTGTGAGCTGCCCCGAGGCTTCGGCAAATGGGGCGGCATAGAAATTTTCTAAATAAATAAATAAGCCTCGGCCTTTCAGAATGAGATAAAATGCTGGGAAACCACCAAATAATGGGGGATTTCAGAAAAGAAGCAAGGACTCGTGTTCATCCTTCACAAACCTTGAAGGCTAAATTGAGAACTGGGGCACAGGCAGATTCAGCCTGGAGTTCCATACTCCTGAAGTAAGGAGCCTTCAGCAGCATTGCAGGGGAAAACACTTTGTTCAAGATTGGGAAAAGCTCTGCTCAGGGAGAAGGGCTGGGAAAGATGTTTGATCCTGGGACACCAGAAAACTGCCGCCAGGGCAGTGGACAATCCTTAACTAGATTTCCTTATCTGTGTAAGAGATTCTTATGCCTTATATACTCTCAAACAAACAAAAAACACACAAAAGGAAAAGAGATAAGGAGGGCAAAGGAAAAAAGCAAACCAAGATAATAGTGCTTAGATAGAAGAATTACCAGGGATGTCAGCTAGGAGGAAAGAATGTCTGCCTGCATGAGTCCATACCTTCCCCAACACAAGTTGTTCACAATTCCCTTTTCAATGCCTTTGTGCAAGAGCTGCTCTGGCAGCCAGTATCTCTCAAAAGAAAATTGGGAGAAATTTGCCACTCAAGACTATGCTGTCAGGAATCTGGCAGAAGTGGAGAACCTGATCTGCACATTTGGCCAGGAGGAACACATCAGCTCTGACTACTTAGATATTTGGGTTCCCCAAAATCTAACCCAGGTCCAAGTTCTCCTTTGAGAATGTTGTCTGCTTGGTCACTTACATCCTTTTGTAGAGGCTGAGCTATCTGAGGTCGGACTGCTGAGACTCTCTCCTTCCAAGATGGCCTTCTCCTGCTTCTCCTTCTCTAGGATGGGAAAACCAAAAGAAGCAGTCAGTCCTTTAGCTTGCTGCTTGAGGCAAACTTTGTAATATTCATTTTGACAGTCAGCCACAACTCTAATTCCGTATGCCACAGCAATCCCACTGTGAGGAAGAAAATGTATTAAAGAGAAAAGAAAAATGTGGGAGGGGGTAAGACACTTTGGTGGGCACCAAGAAAGAGGTCTAAGACTGCACTGGTACTCAGGGGCATCACTCTGCATATTCTCAACTATGCTTTTTTCAGACCAACCAAAATTCCACAAAAAAGGGGCAGCATTCCAATTTTTGTGGAATTTCGATTGGTCTTAGAATGAGGTGGCGGGATGGAGTCACTGAAGCAGTCGGTGTGAGCTTAAGTGGACTCCGGAAGATGGTGGAGGACAGGAAGGCCTGGAGGAGTCTTGTCCTTGGGGTCGCAATGGGTCGGACACGACTTCACAACTAACAACAACAACAACTTAATGAAGATGAGTCCCAACTATGGATCCTGGTTTTTGTTTTCCTTTTCATAGACCAGCACAGCTATTTTTGTTGTTTTTTTTTAACGTCAATTATGAAGCATCCCTAAAACAGAGAACAAGAATGTGCTCCTGTTGCATCTCCATCACCTGATGCCATGGGCCTGAGACACAATATTGCTGTTAAAGTATTTTTGATCTGTCTTTCAGATACAGGAAAGAGCCCTACCAGGGAGTGGATAAACAGCACTTAAATATGGATGGTAACATAGTTAAAATACCTGAAAATACATGAAAAACCTATTAAGGAGATGAGCATCCATCCCCGTTTTGCAGATGCAGATGGTCGTATGTCATCCATCAAAGCCGGCTGAGCAACAGACAGCTTCATAGGAGGAGCTGAAAAATTCTGACAGGGTCCCCTGTGGAACACATCTGCAAGAGGGCTGGATTGCTAAGGACATACACAGACTGAGTGCTGCTTTTAGGCTACTGCAAGAAGGGAAACGTGGGAAGGAAAGTACCAGGGCAAGGGGGATTCCCAAAGAGATCTCTTGCTCTCCAATCAAAGTTCAGCCCTGCCAGTCGCTGAACGTGTGTAGCCAACAGAGGGCATTTCATGTTGGTGTAGCTGCAAGACTTGGAAAGAACATCTAGGCAAGGCTACTGCCTGCCTGGGACACCACCGGTCTTTCTGCAGCTGCAATACATCGGCTGCCGCTGACCAAAAGACAGGTGGACACGCTCCGTCAACATGGCCTCCACTGGCAGCAACAGCACTTTCTCACTGTGTGATGGTGATGACAACACGGATGCTTGGGAACTCCAGAAAGCCCAGAACCCCCGTGTCCCAGTCTTGAACTTTTAACCACGACACCACAAGGGTGCTAGCCGGGGTGAACTGGGGGGCTGCTGGAGAGACGCCTGCTCAGCGATGCCATTGCTTGTTGAATCCTCCCACCTAGACGAGCTTCCATATAACCAGAAGTGCCTGACCCTGCTTCATCTTGTAAGCTAAGCAGAGCCAGGCCTGACCGAAGCCTGGACGGGTGACTCGCACGTTGTGAGTCACCCAGAGAGCTTTGGCTATGGGTGGTACGGAAGTGTAATGTGATGAACAGGATGATGATGATGATGGAGGTCAAGAAGCCATTTCCCCCACCCCCATAGGACACAGTCTGCCCCTTTGATGCTCCATAGCTGCAACAGACACTATTCTCTCCCACTCCTCCCCGTCGTTATATGTTTTTCGGCGCCAGGCCAAAACCTTTTTATTTAAACAGCATTTTAATTGTTAGCTTATTTATTGATTTTATATCTTTGGCCAGAGCGTTTCCAATTGATTATATAATTATATGTATTTATTTATTGTTGTAAGCCGCCCCAAGGCGAATGGGGCGGCATAGAAGTTTACTTACTATCTATCTATCTATCTATATATAAAATAAAATAAAATAAAATAAAATAAAATAAAATAAAATAAAATAAAAGTTGGTCTGTGTGACTGCATGCTCTAAGAAATGTGAATTCCTGAGATTTAAAAACTAACAACATATTTAAAGGATTGGAGCAGGTGAACAGGTTCAATCCCAAAGCACCTCCACAGCCTGTTTTCAAACTTATAAGGGACGCACGATTTAGCGAGCAAAATCAAAATTTAATTCACTGTTCCATCCATTAAATAAATAAAAATAATATAGTTTGCTCCCAGGAAGAATCAGCAAGAAGGAGAGGAGATACACAGCCTGCAACGTCAGGATATACCAAGAAGGCTGACAGAGAAGAGAGGGCAGATTTCACACGCTCACCTTCCTTGGACGCCTGCCAGAACTCAAATGCTACCTTGAATGCCTGAGCGACCGTGAGCGTGACAGCTTGAGCCTGGGGAAAAAAAGGAGAGAAGATACAACAGTGATTATGGTGCACATTACTAGACAGCTCCTCATGTAGATGGAAATGATCTGGAGGTTCAGCTCAGCTGAGAGATGTTAAATCAGGAACTTGCTCCTCATTTTACAGGACTACAAGTCCAACCTAATTCCGGACTGATGCTGGCAGCCTCTGCTTCGGATATAAGAAGGTGTCGTTCCCATGCTCCCCGGGTGCACTCTCACCGGGCCGGCGACTGAGCCTTGATCTGCAGCTCGTTTTTGGTACATGGTGGGAGGCTGACAACCCATCAGAAAGGGGTCACCCCATGCTCCATGAAGGTCCTGCTCTGAGCCCACTTATCAGGGGGACCACTATGAGATTGTGGAAAAGATGAAATGCATCACCACAAAAGAGGACATCCATTTAATTATCCAGATGCAAGTTTTGAAGTACGTATTAGGAACGTAAGTAGAAATGTAAATTGAAATGGCGTTCATCGCACCAGGGGACCAGTCTCACCAGTTTCCTGTCCGGGTACTAACTGGTGATTGGTCCTCATGTTTCTGTCTTTTGACCAGAATTGGACTGGACGCTTCGACTAGAAGATGCCTTCAAACAGAGGACATTCCTCTGTAAAAGAGGACACACGGCCCAATTAACCAGGTCACCGATGTTGGCTATTTTAAGGGATTTCTGCACTTAAAGTTGTCTCAATGTAAAAACCCAGAGATGAAGTTATTTCAACAAAAGACTAAGTTTTGGAGGATGCTGAGAAAGAGAGAAGACTTACTTAAGGCCTTCCTAACCAGTGACCTCACCGAGTGTGCCCTAGTGCTTGCCAGGTATTTATTTATATTATTATTATTATTATTATTATTATTATTGGCTTTTGTATGCCATCCCAATTACTAAAAAGTCTTTGAGCAGCTTCCAGAGAGCAAACAGAAACAGAACCCATAACAACCACCACCACCAGACACACTTCGTGGATCATAAGGCAGGGTCCGTTTTTGGCTTACAAATCTTGGCGTGACTGGCAGCATCAAGCCAGGAACCCCAGTTCTGGGTGACAGATTATACCAGCGAGCTTCGGTCCCCAAGGCGGCCATGCCCCCTTCCCATCCTATTGGCGCAGTCCTGGCCTTTGTGCGGTTTCCTGCCTGCATTCTAAATGGCTGAAATGTCACTCAGAAAGCGTAATTAAGAGATGCAGATGGTTTCGGCATAAGCACATAAATATTTTTAGTCCTGCTTCTTTTGCCATCTGGGAAACCCAGCATACCTCAGATGAGCTGGATTTGCTCAGCAATTCAACACCTTTAAGCATATTCACAAAAACCCTGCAAAATTCTGTTATAACCTCCCTTTTTAAGCTTTGTGAGGGCAATCCTTTATTTTTATTCCTTTCTCTAAAAAAAGTAAACACAGGTTTACATAATAACAATTAGAGCTGCATTGTTTTAATCAGTTATTTGGTTAGGCCAATCAGGTAAAGACTGCTTCCAATTAAATCAGGTGGAAATTTAAATAGTGATCTAACTAAGGGCCAGAGCATGGTCTGAAGGAACAGGAGGCAGCCCCCTTGCTGAAACCAGGCAGGTTGGAGGGGAGCCCACCTTGAGAGTCATATTAAAAGAAAACTGGGATACAAAAGTAATAATAAACAGTTAGGAAATAAATACACAGGAACGCATCATTTTAAATACAAGCACTTATAGAAACCTAAGATGGAAAGCACCAAAGAGTGGCATTTTGCCTTCATTCTCCCACAGAAGAAAAATTCCTTTCCTCATGCAGTGTCTGCCACAACATGTGTTAAAATAGAGCATGCGCCTCACTTCAGAAATATTGTTTATAAAGGTTATGACCAAAAAAAAAAAAAAAACCAGAGAAAGAAACAATATGCAATTTTATAGGAAACCGCTTTTATGAATTACTGGAATAATGTGTGTCAAAATTTTATTATCCTCTCATTTTCAGTTCTTTAGAATCAAAGGGCAGTCTGTGCTTAAAGGTGGAATAGAACGAGCAGGACACCCAAGCCGCAGCCGGGCTGAGAAGGAAGAGTTGTAAATGAGGATTTCCCAGCGGCTGAGAAAGGGGAAAGGAAAGGGGTGTGCTGGTGGGTGGGGAAGCGGGGCCATGAATCCACAAGCTCCCACTGACAGCAGCAGCGCAACTTCACTAGCAGGGTTCGGTCTGAGGCCCTTCCAGTGGCAAGCATGATAAAAGAGGGTATGTGGGCAAAACTCGCCTTGGCGACTTCTCCTGCCCTGCTGGGAGAAGGTATGAGGTTCTTAGAAGCCTCCAAGCTCAGAGTCTTCTGCGTAGCAGATGACACTCTGAAAAGAAATGGTGGCCTTCATTTATTTTCCTTTCCTCTTATTTTCCTTGTTATACATAGATGTGTGTGTGTGTATGTGCATAGAAAGAGAGAGAGCGCATGCGTTCTATGTTTGGAATTGTGACTATTTATATTCTTTTACAGTCTACCAAATTGAGACTTAACAGGTTAGGGTTTCACTGACTTTCCTCTGTGTCTCTTTATAAAAGCGTATGTATTAAATTATTTTCATTAACTGGTCCACAGGTTAAATTAACGCAATTAAGACTATGAACAATGGCTCTTTTATGGCTCCCGTTCTTGAACTACTGCAGTACACATGTCCCTGCTGTATTATGTGTTATCTCCTCCAACAAGAATTGCCTCAAGGCCTAGGCTGCCCCATCTGCTGTGAGCTGGAAAGGAAACGCTGGAGATAAACTCTCTGCCGTGTCATGGTGTCACGGAACAGCCAGGCAGCCACAAACTCTCCGTGGTGTCACGAAACAGCCAGGCGGCCACACTCAGTTCCCACGTTCTTCACAACCACAACAGCAATGCACTGGGGCTGAAGGTTTTCGGGGTCCCCTGTTCGTATTTCTTTTCAATAGTCTCTCCAGGATTTGTCGCTTTATAAAAACAAATGAATGCACAAGATCTCTTACCATTTATCGCTAATCCGTGCTAATTTCTGTCCACACCCTCCCACTGCAAGGGACAACTGCACTGAAAAGCTCAGAAAGCTGTGCGTTTGGGCATATGCCTTATTTTCAGCATACTTATTGGCTTGGATTTTCTCATGAAAACCTTGGCTGAAGTAATTTTTTATCTATATCTAATCTGCAGTACCTGTGGAGAAAAACTGAGATCAAATTGCTTGCCTTATTAAATAACACCCCCTATTTCTGGTCCAATAAACACAGTTTTTTCTTGTCCTGGCTGGAATCTGCCTACAAAGACCTTTGTCCACAAGGAGTAAACAGGGAATCTTCAGGCGTTAACATCTCCTAAGCCTGCCTTCTTGGGTTGCCAAAAAGCAATTAATGGGCGATACCCCATATGTTCCTAGCCTGCCGGTCAACCCCACTGAGCTACCCGGCAGCTCTAATTGGAAGATTCTCCTCCCCCTGCTGAGCCCTCCTGAAGTTGCAGGGATAAATGGGAGGGGGGTGGGGGGGTCCTATTTAATCTGCCATCCTGGAACTTGGGTGGCCACTGCACCTCACAGGCAAGTTGTGGAAACTCTTTTTAAAACTGTCTTGTAGTAGAAATGTAGGGAATGCATCTCTCTGTTCCTTTTGCCATCCCCTGCTGGCACTCTCCTTTCTCCCTCACCTCCGATGGGAATAAAGCTCCTTAATTTAGGATATGGGTATCAGGCACATACTTGCAACCATCCAAAGGCTGTTCCCTGGCTTGCCAGTGAGTTCATTCATGCTTCACACTTGACCAAAATGGGCAAAGGTCAACCAGCTGGACGGACCGGGTGGTTCCTGGAGACTCAGCTGATGGTTACCCCTCCTAGGCAGAAACCCACCTATTCTGCAGTATAGAAACAAAATCTAGAGCCACACGAAAGGAGAAGCCCTGCATCCTGGCCCGCCTCGCAAGGCAGTTGTGCGCTTCTTCCCCTGAACTCATTTTTCCTGCTGCTTGTCTATGGAGGCACTGAACTGGGACTGGAGGAATCTGGCCAAAGGCCCGCTGGCTGGTCCCGTTAACAAAGTGCTATTCCTCCGAACATTTCCCTGGGCTAGACACTACAGGGCCAAGGAAGAACTTGGTGCTGGAACTGGCAGTGGGCGCTTAGTGCAGGCAACAGAAAAATCAGCTCCAAACCATCCAGCAATGTAACATGTCACTCCAACATACACGCATCTACATCTATAGATCAGATCAGAGGCATGTCAAAGACAAATCAAACAAAACGAAGGAACAAGCTAAGTCGAGACCGGCAGCTGCAAACTCAAAATCAAATGTGAAACAATGCGACATGTCATTTGGGACTAACTAAACCCAATGAATGTGACTCAAGTTACACTAATATTAAGTACAACCCATACTGCAAGAAGCATACTTCCCCCAAGACAGGCGCTCTCTTTAACAGAGAGAAATGTTCACTTCATTTCAGCAGCATTGTTCAATGCTGCCCTGTGTGTGTGTGTGTGTGTGTGTGTGTGTGTATGCAGTGCTTTTTTTGTAAAAAAAAAAAAAAAAAGGTGCCAGAACTCAGCTCTTGGGGTCACACTTTTACACTAAAAAAGATTTTCAATTCACCCACTTTTTTTTGAAATAAGGAACTTATTTACCTTTTGCATGTAGCCAGTCACTCTACACACACATAAACATAATGGTTGCCGCTGGCAGTAAGCACTCAGTGTGCAACCACACGACCGATCCCAAGCCGAGCAGCGTCCCAAGCCGAGCAGCGCCCTCACAAGCAGCACAGACACACAAGCAGCCCACAGGCACTATGTTAATGACCTGCACATGGAAAAATCCATCAAAAAAAGGTGCCGGAACACCATTCCCGTGCGTTCTATGACAAAAAAAGACCTGTATGTATGCATGCACATGTGTACACACACACACGCACACTGGACAGTATCCAACCCTAATGCCAGATAGCATATGCTAGTGTGATGGTGTTTCTGAGAAATGCTGTTGCACCAGCTCACACAATTCTGCTTGTGCAAGAATTCCCTTATAGCCGCATTACATCAATGGCGTAACTGGAACAGCAGCATCGGATACTGTCCGCCAGTCTTGTCTTTGGTAAGTTCACAGAAGCCACTACTCCACAAAATCGCTCATCTGATACCACATAGGTATGGTACCCATTGGGAGTTCGCCAACAGTGTGGAATTACCTTCTCTCCTCCAATTTGCAAAGCTCCCTGCCCGGATGGATGCACGTATATTTGACTTGCCCGAGGGGAACTGCTATGTGGAAGCTTGGATGAAACTTTAAATCTGTGTCAATCCAACATGAAAAAGAAGGCGATCTTGTTTGAACATCTGAGCCGTTTACATGTTTGGTGGAAAAGCAAAGCACTTTTTTTTAAAATGATGGGTAAAAAACAAAATGAAAAAGCCTCTCCTTAAATATGGTGATTAAGTATGAAACTCTGCACAGCTGTTTACAATTTCAGCTGTCACATTCAAATCAAGTTTAATAGACCCAGATCCTGGTGTGAATTGCCCAGGTGCTAAAAATATAGACTAATTATATGCCAGAGATGGGAAAACTAGACATATATTCAAGACCCACGCCCCCAAGATATTGTAGCATCCTCTCCCCATATTTCTGTAATGTCAGATTAGAATTCACATATTTTTGCCTCTGGGGAGGAGGGAGGACTTTATGCAACAATCGCTTTCAAGGACATTTGGAAAACGACAGAAGCGGGAAACACACATTGGAAGGATTTTCTTCACAAGGCAAATGTGGTGGTTGCAGCTGGCAGGTGGGGGGACCTTTTCGGAAAGCATCAGAAAATGGGGTACAAATGTTCCCGTACTAATATTGCCAAACCCTCTTCTTCTTTCTGCGTTTTGAAGTGGCAAGTAATTCCTGATGGGAGACAGAGGAGCAGGGAAAGCGGCAAGCGCCTTCAGTGGACATCCTACAGGTGTGAGAAAAGTTACACACTGAGGATGTGCTTCCGGAGGGTAGGAGGATTGTGACAGAGGTAGATTAAACCTTAGACACATGGTCAACTGCATTTGCGATGGGCGTATGGACTGCAAAGTAAACCATGCCTGCCTTGTGTGAAGGTTGTAGATATCGTAAGTCATCTGGACAGCTTTGTGGCTAGTGCTGGGGTGGAGCCAGTGTGGCCCATGCTGGTTCCAGTGACATGGGAAAAGATAGTCATGAGGTCCTAGGAACCAAATTTAGAGGGTTGGGTGGAATAAAAGCCACCCGCTGACTTTCCCTGAAATTCTACCTGCTAAGGAGCTTCAGTGCATGTTTGGAATGGGAAGTGGTGTAGGGAGGTGATGTTCAGTTTTGACACACACTGGGGAACATTTGGGGCAAGCTGTCTGCACAAGAGGGAAGTGCTCCACTCAAACCAAAGCAGAACCAGACTTGTGGCACACAACTTTAAAGAGGCGGCCAAGTGGCTTTTAAACTGAACCCTGGGGGAAAGCCAACAGGTGTTGGAAAGCATCTGTTTTGGGTCAAATTATCCCTAGGGGATGAAGATGAAAAAGTTTCTGATCGCCCAAATGTAGGAGGGGATTAGTTTTGTTTTGTTGTTTGGTTTTGCTGAAAGATTGTAAAAATCAAATAAAAATTATAAATATTCAAACAAATCAGTGTGATGTCTGATCTGGGTAGAAGAGATGGAGGCGGGCTGTCTCTTTGAAAGCTGCCTTGCTATTAATTTATTCATTCTATTAAAAGCGTATTCCTTGACAACTCTGTACCAAAACAAGGAAAGTCAAATTGTATAGACCCAGGGGGAAAACAATGTCAAATTTAATTTCAAAGACAAGCTTGGGGGAGACCCTTCACTCTCAGCCTTGTTAATCTCAAGAAAGTTTCTGTGCTACTAGGGAACTCGTTTTTAAGGAATTCTATAAAGTGTGTGGAGCCCAGGATTTTCTAAACAGTATTTGGGAGCTGCTTCTTATAAAAGAATACAAGAGGAGCCACGGCAGCCACTGACTGCCTTATCTTGGGCGATCCTTTTCTCTATCATTTTAGACCCGTTTGGAACACCATCCCAGCCACGTCCTCAAGCAGGATATCCCTATGACACTGTGCCCCAATTATTTCCCTGCAAACACTTGCTGCATTTTGCAATGCCTGGAGATGTGGCACAGAAAGTTTTCCAAAAGGGAACATTTTCCAGTGCTTTATTTTTCAGCGGAAACGGTTCCACTTCGTAAGTCATAGCAACGAATGGACGCCAACTGCAAGAGCAAGACAAGCTTGGCAGTTTTGAACTTGTAGTTCATGCTTTTTGGGAGATTATCTCTGCCAACAATGTAAAAAATGCTTATGTCTCTGAAATATATATGGAAGGGAACCACTAAGTAATGACAAAACTGGGGAGGCCCCAGAAGCTGTAGTGGAAAAGAGCTGAACTCTGTGGAATAGATGAGTGGCTAACAATGTATCGTGTAAAGTTCGCTGACTCCCTAAAATTAATTGTCAACAATTTTCAGTATCGTTGGTTTTTTCCTTAAATTTAAATCATATAAAGGCAGCTCTATATGCATGTTTAGACAGAAAAGTCCCACAACTCCCAGCATTCTCCACCAGCATTCTGCTATTGACATTAAATTTTACAAGTATTTTCTATATAATGTAACATTTAAATCCCAGCACGTGTGCTTTAATTCCACCTCCCTCAAATATTTCAGGGTCAGAAACACTTGGTTAGAAATTTAACTTGGGATACTCTTTTAGCTTTGCTTACAAAATACAGATAAAATAAACATGATCTTTTTCGGGGAGCTGAACATTTCCCAGGGGAGAATGAAAGTGCTCTGATGCAAAGAACCCTATGCAAATTAGCCATTCAAAATTTTCTAGAAAACTGCATCGTGGGCAGCCTCTGACTCAACAAGCATTCCCTGAACGGTTCAGAGAAGGGCAGCTCTGCCATGTTTCACTGACCATTTTCCGTTTGCCGCAGAGGAAAGCGTGGCACTCCAGATTCTCGTTGTGTTGGCTCTGGGCGATGTACGCAAACACTTTATCATGGACCTTGTCCGCTGTGCAGTAGGATATCCTGTGAACAATGGCAAATGAAGGGCCCAGGTTATTTATTTTTAAAAAGAACGCAACAGAAGACATACTGGATCATACCAAGGGTCCATCAGTCCAGCATTCTGCTCATGCAACAACCCAGAGGCAGTGTTAGAGGTGAACCCCAAATCTCTGGAAGGCCACCTGCCTCCCCACTCACCTGCTTATGGACACTTACCGGATCAAAGGTGCAAGGGCCTTGAGTTCACCTGCTCTGATCCCCCTGCATCAGCTGGCTTCTCGCTCATGTTTTTCCTGCTACCCTTGAAGCTTTCTCCCTGAGCTTTTGTGACGCCAAACGCCCTGCCTGTCCACCCCTTTGTTTACAAAGGAGAATGGGAAAAGAGCCATGCAGGATCAGGCCATAGGTCCGCCTAGGAAAGTTTCTACTCTAACCAGCTGCCCACAGCATAAGCAGGATTATCCCCCTCCCCAGATTCCCCAGTAGTTAGTGTGTGCAGGCATACCACCTCCGATATTGGAAGTAGCATACAGATACTGGGACAAGTGGCCACTGATGAATGGGTCCACTCCTCTCTTAAGCCACCCAAGGTGGTGGCCATCTCTTCAGCTCATGGGAGGGGATTCCAAAGTTTAACTATGCAATATATGAAGTTCTTCCTTTATTAGTCCTGGATCTTTTTACTTGGGATGACCCTGGGTTCTAACTTTCTCCACACCAGGCATAATTCTGTACACCTTTAGCACCTCCCTCTTACTCACCTTTCCCTCTGTGCTAGATAATCTCACCTGTTGTAACCTTTCCTCATAAGTGAGTTGCTCCAGCCCCTTCATTATTTTAGTTGCCCTTTTCGGCATTTTCCCCTTGAATCTACACTATCCTTTTAAGCTAAAGATGTACACACAGCATTCTAAGTGTGGTCACAATGTAGATTCCTGTAAAAGCAGTAAGATCTTGGCAGTTTTATTTTCAATTCCTTTTCCAGTTAGGTCTAACACAGAGTTTGGCTTTTTCACGGCAGCCACATTCTGGGTTGACATTTGCATCAAGCCGTCATCACAACCCCAAGATCCCTTTCCTGGTTATTCTCTGCTAACTCCGATCCTTGAAGTTCTTTCAGATTCTTTGGCTCTTTCTGCTTATACTTGGAGGTTTTTTTTGCCACAGAATGGAAGGAAGCTGTGGCTATTTGGCTGCTTACACTCTTCAGCTACCCCTTTCTTCCCCCAGCACGACACGTTTGGGAACACAGAATGAGACAAGCCATAAACTTCCCACTTGTTACTGCATTTTCTACACCAAACGTTCCCCTAACATGGAGTCAAAGTCTGGTATATCACTCCAGGAGTCTGGTCCAGACAAGGCACCTCACTTTAGATTCAAGGGTAATCAGGCAGAAATAAAACCACTTATGTGAAAGGTAGCTTAGTTTATTAAACATAATGAAGATGGAAGCAGATTATCAATTAAGAAACAAAAGCTGAGCTCACATATCCCCCCCACCCCCGATCAGTGTCCTCATAGGACAGACATCGCTCAGGCTGCTGTCCTGTTTAGACACTTCCTTGCTCCTTATTCTAAGCAGGAAGCCAAAGGACAGACAGGCAAAAGATGCTATGAAGTTCTGTTTTTGCCCTGCTTTGGAGACTGTGAGCCACAAGCTAACTCCCTCCCTGAGAGACAAAGGGGGTGAAGCTATAGCAGCAAACCAAACTCTTCTGTTTCTCACAGCAAAGGGAGCCCTTATCTGAGGAACGCAATTAGGGAAAACAGTTGCAAGGCACTTATCTTGGGAGCTCTCCCTACGAAGCTAAGGCCTTGCCTAATACCCTAGCGTGGCTCCAAGAAACTCTCTTGGTTCTTGGATGCTGTGAAAGGTCAGTACACTGCCTGTCAAACCCTCCGACTTTATCACTGTTCTTCCAGTGGAGCCCATCTGTCACCAGGCAATTATGGGATTTCAACGGAACTGAACGGCTGTGCTACATTCCAGCTTAATGTTTCTGCCTATGTTTTGCACTGTTCTATATATGAACTATTTTATTTTTCTTTAAATTTGACTGTAGTTTTTTTTTTTCTTGCAAGCTACTATGGGTGTTTTAAACAGAAAAGTGGAGTAAGAGGACTGATTTTTTAATTAAAATCATTTCATTTTCTATCAGAGAAGCTCCACAAGGTATCTACGAGCAATTACCAGAGTGGACTACTGCAAGTCAAGCTACATGCAGCTGCCTTCAAAGATGGCACAGAATGCAGGTTCTCAAAAGCTTGTGAGAGCCAAGAGGTTAGAGCATCTTATGTCAACAAGCTGAACAGATGGATCATCTCCACCTAGGAGGGCCCCATAACCAAACAGGCCCCACCTGGCGTGTCCAAGTGTCACACCTCCAAAAGCAAAGCTAATCAAAGCAGAGCCTCAGATGCCATCCTGAGTGCTGGAGTCAGTCCCTGTGGGAAAAAGCAGTTCTGGATAGTGTGGACCCAAACTTTAGAAAGAGTAGCTCAGTTTAGTGCAGCATATTTATATTCTCCTTTTCCACAGGAGATCATGCCCAGTCATTTCTCACAATAAACGTAACTATCAGATTAGAGCATTGCATTCATAACCCCTGTCATTATCCATATTTTTTTTTTACAAAATATGGTTTCAGAGATTATCAGACACTGGTCATTTGCTTCCTATCTACTCTTTACAGCCACAAGGGCTAGAAACCTAATAAAACTAAACCCGACAGTATCCCAAACTATGAAACCCAATACAAAGCTCAGTGCATTGTACAAAAGCTGCAGAGCGATTTAGGCTTCCCCTATCGAATGAGGAAGACAAATGAAAGCTTCAGACACGACTACACACACACATTCATAAAGGGTTTTTGTTTTGTTTTTTTTACAAAACCAATGCAAAGAAGAGTGCATTTTTCTAGGCTGAGATCGTATAACACTGGGGAAATGCAAGAAAACAAATATCCATTCATCTTTGCTGTCTAAGGAACATTTCTTTCTCATTCTTAAAGAGAAAGAGATTGCCTGAATGCAGATAACTTGACAGCTCTTGATCTTTGTAACGCACCTCCATCATCTGGTTACAACTGCCCACTACCAATGAATAAAAGAGCCACAGAGACCAGTCCAAAGTCCATCTAATCCGGCTCCCTCTTCATACCGGGGCCAACCTGCTGCTTTGGGGAAACTCATAAGCAGGACGGGAATGTGTCAACGCACCTGTGCGCCTCCGCAACTGGTGGATGTAGGCAAAAGCATTATACTGGAAATAGAGTCTACGTAGGTGTTATCTCGTCTATATAAGACCCAAATCTTTCCTGGCCAGTCACCACTAGCTCAGACCCAACCACTGTATATGTGAAATTGAGGGGTTTTGCCCCACACTGCCGAGGTCACATTATTTCTAGAGTTAGGACCAGTTTGCATAACTGGACAAAAGGGGATTAAAATAGATGATGAAAAAAAATAAAAATGAGTTTTTAAAAATTTAAATTAGATTTTTTATTCAAATTTGATTTTTTAGAAAATGAAATACCTTTTGAGGAAAAAATCTATCTAAATATGGTTTTCTATTTAAGATACATTATAGTACAAAGATTATTCTTCACAAAATAAGGATTAATCTTTAATTATGTTATCATGAGGCTTTATATTCATCCAATGTTTACCTTTTTGGTATATGAATTCTATTAATCAATTTATAATGTCATGCTCTTCCCAAAGTTTCTGGAAGATGATTGGAAAATTTTTCTATCTAGAAGATACTATCACAGATGCTTGGTTTTACATCTCTCAACATTGTGAATTTGTGTCTGCAGAGGTAACACGCCTCTTCTTCATAGCAAGAATGTTATAAAATAAACATACAGAGTTGAGAACAAGACCTTAATCCTGTTGTTCCTTTGCAAATTTATGTACCCAGAATCAACCCCTTATCTCTTAAGTGCCAAGTTTCAAAAAAGTCAATGAATAGAAGAAGCTTGTTGGGAGGGAATAAATCTGCACAAGAAGCTGAGTCTGAGGAGGGAGGAACAAGTAGTAAAAATGAAAGGGAAAGCTTCGAAGCAGAATACTCCACAAGTCTTTGGATCTTTTTGTGTATATGAGGTTTATCCTATCATTCTTTCCTGGAGGAGAAAACCTATAATGGCAGCAGGCCATAAAAGAAACCCAGCTTGGGAATATTTTAATGAAGTTCCCCTACCTACGGGTAAGGCAGGAACGTGTGTGAATTCTGTGGAAAACCATGGTTTTAATCTAGTCTTACTGACTAGTGATTTAAATGGATTCGATTTAAATCAAACCCACCCTGCAGGACAACATGACTTAAGGTCAATTCTTGTTTCTGTGGGGTCATAATCACAGGCAGTGCAACTTCAATTTTCTGAACCTGATGAAAGATCCACTAACTTTTCTCAGGAGGAAAGACTGAAAGCTACATCTTGCCTTGGAGTTTTTTATCTTGCCTGTCAGTTGTATAGCATCTCTTCTAGAGGACACTCTGCTTTCAGGACGTGTTAGAAGGGAGCTTGTCCGAGTTAAAGGGCTTACCCTACTCATCTTGGGATTGCAAATGCAGTTTGAAGTTCCCCGTCTCCAACTCTCTGTAGTCCTTGGCTAAAAACAGGAAGAAAAACTCTGATGGAAAGGTGTTAAGAAAGGCTGCCGGAAAGAATGAGCCTCAAACAGCAAGAGAGCAAATGTGAACACTGCTAAAGTCCTGCAAAAAGGTGGCAGCCAAGCACCCAACTCACGGTTTGAAGAACATCCTTCTTGGCAGGACAACATGCCCCTGGACTAGGAGAGGAAACCGTTTCGAATTCGCAGGCTGGTCTGAGGGCCCAGCTTTTTATATGTTTGATATTCACCCAGAGAGAGACAGATCGTTAAAATGGCTTGCATCTAAAGGCATAACTTTAGAACAGCTTTCCCCAAACTGGTGCTAGTCATATGTCATGGGTTCAGTCAGCATGATGGCCTGACGGAGGTGTAGTTCAACTGATCTGAACAGCACCAGG